CCCTGGGACCCGCCTCTTGCTGCGGTCAGGAGTACGCCCGGCGGTATCCCCGCCGTTCGTCAGAACTCCCCCGCCCCTAGAGCGGGCAGATGCCCGCAACGCATAGGTACAAGGGATCCATTGTCTCGGATACATGCATGACCAGCGGGTATATGTAGGGACACTGTATCGTACTGAACATGTGTGAGTGTAGCCTGGGAAAGTGTAAGTGTCGTTAGTGCAGTGGTCCGTGCGCGAGAAATTGCTGATGAGGAGGGCTCAGTGTCATGGCTTGGTGCGATGTGGACCGGTGCTTGTCTCTCTGCTGTAAAGGGGTGCCTCCGAAGGGCTCGTCTGCCTTCATGTCGAGTTGGGTATGCGCGGCTTGCTGTCAACGTTGGGTTTATTATGCTGCCAAGTCTGAAAGAAAAGGAATTAGTAGTATTGTCTGTCAGTGCGCCATCATAATCTACATCAAGCCTCCTCCAACATCGTATTATTCATTGCACTATGGTACATGTGACTAACTACTCTTCGATTAGTCATGGACACTTCTCTGTAGTATATAAGGACTTCAGATTGCGTCCTCCCTCTTCAGTCTTTCCTTACTGACTGAAGATCTTGCTTCGACTCTAGTCGGATCTAATCCTTGTCTTCACAGCCCCGAGTTTATCACTTCCAATCCATCCTTGAGCAATGCTCCTAGGGATATAAGTTTATATGTGAGGTTGGGTACCATAGCAATGTTTGTCAGCTTCAAGGTAGTTCCAAGCTCAGTTGGTATGATGACTGTCCCTTCGCCAATCATAGTAGTAACACCATCTGCCATGTGTAACAGTTGAGGTGTACCGTAGTAATGGAAGTTGACATAGTCGTCGAGACAAAATGTAAAGTGCATTGAAGCACCTGAGTCGATTATCCATACTAGGTTGGGATCATTGTACTCAGTCGATGCTCTGCCTTTTCCTTTACAGTGCGCACACTCAGCATACAAAGAGTGGTGAAGACATATATTATCTTCTGTAGCTAATTGTAAGGGCATAGCTACAGGTCACTGGTACACACTAGATAAATTTTTCGATCCTTATAGTTATAGTAAAACACGAATTATTTGGCCCAAATGTTATAGTGGCCCCTCCAAATATTTGGGAGGGTTGGAGGGATGCCCCTCCCAGATATTTGAGGTGAACACCAAATATTTGGGACATACGTAGGGAGCAAGGGGAGGAGGGTACCCCTAAATATTCGCCAAATATTTGCTGTGAGTGCTATATAGGGAGGATCATATTCCACTTGCATGCGCTGTGGGTCGTCTTGTGATTCCTCCAAATATTTGAAGTCCGCCCCAAATATTTGGATAAATATTTCACTCGAATGTTCTTCATTTGGTACAGCGTGACATGAGTGCTCATTATGGCTAATCTGCTACATGCTCTCAATTACGTCTAGACGAAGGCATCATGCTGCGTCAACCAAGCTCGGACGTCAATTATGATGTCTTAGCCTTAGCTTTGGCAGGGCAAGGCGGCTGGAATACGGGCCCGGCGTCAGCAGGGGAGGGCGTGAGCGTGCACTTGTGCGTGAGGTGCGCGGCAGGCTTAGGCTTGATAATCAGCTTCCAGGGTGAGACCTTCCAGTCGAGCTCGTTCCAGGGCGCGATCTGCTGCCCGGCGAGCTGCGAAGCCTTCGACTGCATGTGCGACAGCTTGATGACTCTGGGCAGATCTGCGGACGACTGCGACTTGGCATACGGCCAGAGAGACATGATGGACGTCGTGCTCACGCAGCTCGCCCTTGAGCAGACTCCCACGCTGGAGCATTGCACATTGCCTCAGAGGGCTCTCCTGGCTCGCGTGCTGCCAAGGCGTCAAATTGAGAGGTGTGCCGGTTATGCTTCCGGGAGTCACCTCGAGGTCGAGGTAGTTGATAAGCGAGGTCATTTGTCGCAGCGTCGAGCAGTGAGAGGATAGCTACGCCATATCGTCAGTAACGACATGTAAACCAAGTCTTCCTGCTCACCATCACCCTCGCTGTTCTCACAAATCGCCTGTGGCCTTGGGTGCTCCAACATCTGCTCCGAAACAGGACGCGCCCTCGACTGCTCAACAGTCGTCGACCTTCTCGTTGTCCGTGGGCGGAGAATGCCCGTCCGCCGTTGCCTCCTCCATGCGCACCACCGGATGGTCCGTGAGCGAGCCCGGGGGGGACGGCGAGCCCGTTGACTGCCTCTGCACGTCGACCTGCGTCTCGGGGAAGATCTCGGAGATGGGCGTGCGCCGGTGGGACTCGGACGACCGCCTGCTCTCGCGGCTCGTCTTCTTGCCCTCCTCCTTCTCTTTGTGCTCCTTCTCGTGGTCGTGCTGGCGCCATGTGCGCCGCTCCTGCCGCGTCATCCCAGCGGACGGAGACGACCGAGCTGCTCGACGAGCGCGCTGAGCACCCTGTCGAGTTGACAGAGATGCCTGAGATGGTGGACAGGGACTGGAGCGAGGAGCCGCTGGAGAGGATCGACGAAGGCCGTCCTTGGGCGTTCATGATCAGTTGCGCCAAGTCGACCGAGAGGCGCTGTGCGGCCTGCGGGATCCCAGTGCCACTGCTGGGACCGATGGAAGATGCGGTCGAGCCGGTGGAGACGTCGTGCACAGTCAAGAGGCGCATTGAGCTGAGCGTGATCTCGATCGTTGATCTGTTCACGCTGCAACACGCACATGCGAGAAGTGTGTCGTCAGTGAGATCTACGGGAATGTGGCAGGCGGACTCACTTGTCACGTTGAAGAATGGAGGGTGCAATGCGTCGAATTGTTGATTGGCGGATGGGATGCCAAGGGGACGAGATGGGGAGAGATGCACCTGGACACCGCGAGGAGTCATGTCGAGCTCGGCGACAAGCTTCTTGCGGAGGGACACGTTGGGCTTCATGTCATACTTGTGAACGCCCTAGAGAAACTTGAGTTGATCGCGAGTGGTGCGCTTGCGGTGCTTGACCTCGTTGCGGGTGTAGGAGTATAAAGTGCGGATATCGACCTGGGATGGATACATGCACGGAGGGATGAGTGCTGGGACGCCAGTCCATACTGGCTGCGGGGGTAGCCGGGTTCCAAAGGGCAGAAACTGGTGAGGTATAGTTGGCATGCTCCCGTGTGTACGTGTTTGCGGAGACAGTTCGGACCTGTACAAGAAGATATCACACCAGGATAACAGAAATGAGTGTTCGTCACAAACAGGATTACAGCATGTCTGTAAAAGAGAAAGACGTACCGAGCTTGCAGAAGCCTCAGTTGTAATCTGGACACTCCTCCCTTAAAATAATCGTGGAGACACTCGCCACCAGCAGATCAGTACCATACTCGGCATACCACTAGCACTCGGGCATGCGGCAGAGGTTGTACTCATGCAAGACTCACGTGTTGCCCTTTCTACATAGCCCGCATAGCCAGTGCTTACAGACGGTCGTCCAAGTGTTCGCGTTCACGAGGGTGCATGAGCATTGGTTTTGGCGGTTGAAAGTTCTGCATAGAGGACGTGGTGTGTCTGAGAGGATAGTGCAGTGGACGGATTGAGGATGCAGCTGGTGGATTCTAAAGCCGGAACCCAGGTGTGTGGCAGATAGGCGGAGACGAAGGAGACAGATGGAGGCCTGCGCAAGAGGGAGACGTGGCAGAGTGCGGAAGTTAGACACTTGACGTGCCTACTACAGCGGTTTTCAATTGACTTGTCGTTTGAGCGCTGAAGCAAGCGCGCCGCCACACCTGCGTCCGACCCTCACTGATGCCTCCCTTGGAAACCTTCGACCGACAATATCTCCTCTTCCCCTCCACAAAACCACTCGCTTCTTTCAGTTTATCACGCCTGGAGACTATCCGCACACGTTGATGTCAGTTGTGTTGCTGGATGTGCCACCCATATCGCGCCAGCCCCGACTCGCGTCTCACTCACTGGGACCTCCTCTAAGCGCCCCCTTTGGAACGTTGGACGGCGAAATCTCCTCAACAGTGCAACATATTGACGTCGATTCTTCAATGTCTAGTTTGGAAAAGTGTTCTGCAGGGCATGGTACTACTCTTACGATGGGATATGGCGCGTAGAACATCCAGCCTCCATTTCACGATAACTTCTGCAACAATCTCTCCTGTCTGCCGTGCATATTGTTCCTCGTACTACACGGCGAAGCTTAGGAGGTGCAAAAGGAGTCATTTGTGGATATCACAGAGTATGCAGAGTGCAGTAAGTGTTTGAGCCGTACATTTCCTGTCTTCCATGCAGAGTACATGCACGTGTCAGGCATGCTATCCCCCCAAATGCCGTCAAACCACCATCCTTAGGCTTTCAAACATGTTGTATTTCTGTGTCATATGCCTATGTACGTTTCCAATCACATATGTCATCAATGGCAGTCGTGTGTAGTTGTCGCGGCGACTAGGCGCGTAGACTCGGGTCGACGTTCAGCGACGACCCCGTAGGCAAGCGGCAAGGAGCCGAAAGGGAAGGAGAGAGAGAGAGAGGGATAAACGTGACAAGAAACTCGACGAGGGCAGAGCGGAGGCCGGCATGAAGGCACGAGACCTACGAAAGCTAGTCTTCACGCAGAGAGCGACAGACTAGTCCCAATGACCAAGTTATACATTAGCAATCGAAGAGAGATACAACGCTATGGTCACTCACCTAGTCCCAATGACCAAGAGGTCGAGATGGGGACTAGGGAGCGCCTAGGGGGGGTCCTTATATACTAGAGGGGCTGCTTAGCAACCAAGGACAAGGCGCGAGAGTGAGGCAGTGAA